CGATTCTCTCCCCTGTCCCATTGTGGGGGGAGTGAGCGAGCGGCTGGGTGGTGCTTTGTTCATGGCCAGGGTTAAATAATGGCAACCTTGTTTCCACGCTCCTCAATTCTTAGCTGACTCCCTAGCTCTTTCCAAGACAGCTTTGCTGTAAACCTAATCCATCCACCTAAGTTATGTGAATATGAGCCAGCCAGTGATACTTGCCTTGGAGCTTTCTTCTATTTAGAGCTATGTGCATAGCCTGTATGTTTAAGTTTTTCACTAGCAAAATCATATCAAGGAGAACATTGCTAAACTTACTATCTAATGTGACCGGATGTATGATGTGTCTTAGCATCAGCGATCATATCCCTGGTACTTTGGATACTAGCAAACATGAGTCTGTTTGATCTTTTGTAGCAGGGCATGGTCAAACTCAATCTGCTCTAGAATGATCTCAGTATCAATGTGTCAGAAGGAAAATACAGTCACATTTAAAAGCGGTGGTATGCCTACAGTAGTTTTTACAGAAAACATCCATTAAATACTGACTTAAGCACTTTCAGTTCTCACCCTCATAGTCTGTACAGTCTATTGTCTTTGCTCATTTGCAGTGAGTGCAGGATGCTACCAGAAAATGTCACCTGAGACCAAGGTTTCTTAGTTCTAATTCCCAGCTTTGCCAGTGACTTTATTTTCTTGTGTGGCTCTGGGAAAGTTACTCCTGCCCATGACACACTTCCAGAAATGGAAATTTCAATTTTACTCATAGGGTGATGTGAGGATAAACTGATTCTTATACATTGCAGACATATGGAGAGTAGCATACACTTGCTAAGCATACGAAGAGGCATAGAAACAGGACTGAGAACCTTACAATGTATACCAGGCAATGAAATATTCCTTGCAATTTGCTGCCTAAATGCAACTTACCCAGAATCAGTTCAGTCTTTAGATCAGTATTTTGATTTCTGTAGATGACACAAAACTGGGAAAAGTGGTTGATACACCACTATTAACTTCAGAGGGACCTGGACATGCTGGAGACATGGGCTGACAAGAATCTCATGAAATTCAGCAAAGGGAAGTGCTGAGTCCTGTACCTGGGGAGAAACTACCCCTGGCACCAGCACAGGCTGAGGACAGCCTGCTAAAAAGCAGCTTTGCAGAGAAGGTCCTTGGGGTCCTGGTGGACAGCAAGCTGACCATGAGCCAGCAATGTGCTCTTTCTGCAAAGGAGTGTTGCCAGCAGGTTGAGGGAGGTGATTCTTCCCCTCTGCTCAGCACTGGTGAAGCCAGACCTGGGGTACTGGGTCCAGTTCTGGGATCCCCAGTACAAGAAAGATACAGAGCTACTGGAGAGAGTCTCTCAAAGAACCCATTAAGGGCTCTGACATATGAGAAGAGCCTGAGAAATCTGGGACTGTTCAGCCTGGAGAGATGAAGGCTCGTGTATAAATACTCAACTGTGGGGATTAAGGAAGATGAAGCCAGAGTCAGATCAGTGGTGCCCAGTGACCAGACAAGAGGCAATGGGCAATATCTGAAAAAATGGAAATTCAGTTTAAACACAGGAAAACACTTTTTACTGTGAGGGTAGTCGATCACTGGAACAGGTTTTGCAGTGATGTTGTGGAGTCTCCAGTGTTGAAGATACTCAAACCTGACTGGTCAAAGCCCCAAGCAACCTGCTGTATCTGACCCTGCTCTGAGCAAGGGGTGGGACAGGACAATCTCCAAAAGTGCCTTCCAGCCTCAATCATCCCAAAATTCTGTGTTTTACTTTTTTTCAAGACATAGAAATCCACATATTTTAATTAGATTATTTTATAGAAAGGGTACAGAAAATAGCATGTCTTTCAGTTATTGCAGAGTAGATGTCAGATAACATCAAATAGTGCAACAGAAATCATACATATTTCAAAGTCTTCCCTGAATCTTGCAGAAATCTTTAGAAATTTTATATATACACAGATTTGCATTTTTAAACAGTCTAAAGCATTACCAAAATTTTGCTTAGATTTTCTGAAGCAGGAAGCTAATCCAGATTTTGTACAAATGCTAGTATAACTGTACCTAACTTAATCCCTGGCAAACATTTGTATTCTGCACAAAATCCTCCGTGGCACAAGAAAATCAACAGAAAACATAGAGAGACATACCTCCTCTTGAAAAAGAACCCTCCTCCTTTATCCTGTTTGATTTTGGATGGCAGCTGCAAGGGTATTTGGACCTGTAGCTTTGGTCATGCAGGCATCAGTGTTTGGCTCTGCCAGTTAGCTTTTTTTACTGCAAGTTGATAATAAGTAGCAAATGCTGCAAGTCAGAAAGTGACTCAGTTTATCATTTCCCTTGCTGCTTTCAAACTTCCTTAAATTTCCTAATTTGCAGATGTTAATGATTTCACATGAACTGATAATGCAACTAACTTCCTTCCTGTTATGTTGGATGAACTAAGCATTAATAGTCACAAAATGTAAACTGATTATACAAAACTACATAAATACTCAGTAGTCATAGTACATGAATATCCTCATAGAAATACATCTCCTACACATAAGCACATTTTCATAAATAATGTGTTCTAGAAATAACAGCAGTGTTGTGTGGCTAATCCATGTTTAAAGTGCTTACAGCATGGCCACTTAATTCTGTCACGACCTGACTTGCTGTATCATTGCTTGCATCATTTATGACCTCTGCACCAGCCCAGTTTCTCCTCTGAGGAAGATCAATCCTTAGCATGCACTTGCAGACAGCCCAAAAGATTACATCTTGCACAGTTGTAGGCAAAGAAGTGGCAAGGAAAATATCAGATCCAAATTTCTGACCGACCTCACTGCCCAATTTTGGGTTGGTTTTGTTTGGTTCATCTTAGGGTACAGTATCATGGGTTAGGTGCAAAAGTGTCTGAATATTCAAAGTAAAAGAAAATATCTGAAGCATTTGCTGAATTCAGTAATGTCAAGTTCGCAAAAGACTTTGCAGTCATATAAATATGAGAGTTTAAGCCACAATGTTTGCTTTAACTTTCAGCAACTTTAGATGCGGCTCTGGGTCATGCTGGGCGTTAGCCACTTCCTAGTTTGTTTTACATTATATCTGGCATGCAGATATGTAATCTTCATGTAATAGATTCTTTTTGTTTCTTGCTGTTCTCAAATGCTTGTAGCAAGAGTAATTTGAATTAGCCCCTACCTTCCACTCCCAACACAGGCACAATAGCAGGAAGGTGAAGAATTCCCCAGGCTTCTTAGGAGTGAGGCAGGATCCTTAGTAGTTAGTCTGTTAGAGGAAGAAGTATTCTTAACCCTGCTTTCCTTGAACCAAAATATTTTTTTCTTTTTTTTTTTTTTCTTTTTGCTTGTGAATGTGGTCAGATCTACCAACAGCAAATTACTTCACAGACATTTCAAATTTTAAATGTCGTTGCTTTTCATAGAATCATAGAATCATAGAATCGCTTTGGTTGGAAAAGACCTTTAAGATCATCGAGTCCAACCGTTAACCTAACCCTGTCATCCCACCACTAAACCATATCCCTAAGCACCTCATCTATCCTTCTTTTAAATACCTCCAAGGATGGGGACTCGACCACCTCCCTGGGCAGCCCATTCCAGAGCCTGACAACCCTTTCAGTGAAGAAGTTTTTCCTAATATCTAACCTAAACCTGCCCTGGTGCAGCTTCAAACCATTCCCCCTCGTCCTATCATCTGTTACCAGGGAGAAAAGGCCGACCCCCACCTCCCTACAGCCTCCTTTCAGGTAGCTGTAGAGGGCGATCAGGTCTCCCCTCAGCCTCCTCTTCTCCAGACTAAACAACCCCAGTTCCCTCAGCCGTTCCTCGTATGACTTGTGCTCCAGACCCCTCACCAGCTTGGTTGCTCTCCTCTGGACATGCTCCAGCAATGCAACATCCTTCTTGTAGTGAGGGGCCCATCCACACTTCTCAGTCTTGCCCACCTTTGCCCAGTGATTCCCATGAGGAGGGCATCTTAATAATGTTTTCCATTTTAAAACCTTGAGGTTATGAATGAAAAAAACTATAGATAAGTTAAGCAAGTAATGGTGAAAGTAGAGTGCATGGGTGGCAGTGGCTTAGCTGCAGGATTTGGTCTTTAGAACCACATACCAAGTGTTGATGCAGTCCTTGCCAGCTTTCTCAGTACCTTGGGAATAGGGCTGGCAAGTTTCAAATCTTCTATTCATTAAAGGATTTAATTTGCTGATTTTATGTAGCCTAAAAAGAACACAGATAGTATAAATGTCAGTGTGGTCTGGAATTGCCTCTTCATCAAATATGCTCTACTTGGGTACCACCAGCCACCTCAGTGACCACTACAACCTTGCTTACCTTTTCGATAGCGCTATCCATTTTCGATGCAAAGTGTGTGTCAGTATGCCCAATTAATTTTGATGAAGGGATTTACATCCTGTTGTGGTGGCATGTTTGGACAGGTTCTGGGTAACCTGAGGGTGGTCTTACAGTGTCACCTGACCAGTACCTTCAGGCTGCCCAAACAGTGGCTGAACTAGTTTTAACTGATCCATTTTAAACTCTAGTCTGGATTAATTCACGAGGGCTCTGTGTGAACCAACTGGCGCAGCCACCCTTCCCCTCTTCTTGGGGTCTGGTTGCCTGTGCTCCCTCACTGGGTGGTGTGGGATGGGCCTGGTCAGGGAGGGCATGGCCCTGCTGGCACTATGGCTGCTGCCAGGTCCTGGACAAGACCAGGACTCTGACTGTTTTGGACCAGCTTCTTTCAGGACATATGAAATCTTTTTTTGTTTTGACTGTTTTTCTCTGACCACCTAAACCAGGCCCCACCTTCTCCTGGGAATAGCCATCTCAGCTGCTTGTGAACTGCCACGGTCTACAATGTGGTGTTTATGATAAGCCAGAAGTGATCTTGGTTTTGATTCATGTGCTTTTCTGTGGTTTATTCTAGTTCAGTATTGGTAATGTGGGTGGCTGAGACTCCCTCAAGAGTAGTCAGGGGTGGGCAGAGACCTCTTCAGTTCTCCCAAGACAGCCCCTTCCAGCACCAGAGCTTTTGGTCCACAGGTGTAGGGTGGTCTGCTGGAATGCCTTGCAGGTTGTGTTCCACGTTGTTGATGTAGATGTTGCTAGCCAATTCATGAATAGATTGTCATAAAGGAAAGGCAGAAAATTAATTCTACATGGTCTGAAAAATCTGTTAATGTCTAAGTTTAGTATTAAAGTTTGCAGCATTAGAAGGAGCTCTAAGAAAAACACCGGGCTATTAAAAGCTTCAGAAATGTTACCAACCTTTCATAAGAAAGGAGTAGACAGAACAATTGTGTTTCTATCCTTCAAGAAGTCGCCAAATATTCTATGAAGCTCTTTCGTAACATATTAACAAGGGCTGCTGTGAAGCACAGAGTTCTAAGAAATGCACAGCACAATTTTTCAAAACACTGTTTTAAATTAGGGTTACACTTTTTATCTTTTCATCTTCTGATCAAAGTAAATTCAAGTGTGTAGTGGATGATTTCATGGTTCCTTTTGGACTATTCCTTCAGCCTGTCTGGGTCCCTCTGGATGGCAACCCTCACCTTGAGCAAATCAGCTGGTCACCTCAATTTGATGTCATCTGCAGACATGATGACAATGCACTCCATCACCTCCTCCAGGTCACTGATAAAGACATTAAACCGGGTAGGTCCCAGGATAGACGCCTGTGGTGCCCCACTTGTCACAGGCATTTACCCTTGGTAAAACAATACTGACTGTTACCAGTGACATTCTTCTCCTTAAAGAAATTTGCTCCAAGAGGACTCATGCCACGAATTTCCCAGGTTGATAGGCCTGCAGTCCTCTGGGTTGGACTTTTGGCCTTTTTCTGAACATGGGTGCAACACCTTTCCTGAGTAAGTTGAAGTATGTTATCCCTTTCCAGGAAAGAACAGGAAAGAAATGAGGAGTTTTTATGGCATCTATTTAACAAGATCACAATGCCACCTCCTGAATGTCTTTGTATTGTCTTTATTATACTTTCCTATTCCCTTCCCTACAGAGAACCAATGAATAGTTCACAGCTTATGGGTAGGTTTTGGTGGATTAGAGCCAAACTATGCTTCACTCTGGCAATTTTTCCCAAGGAAAGATACCATGAAAGGATATATAAAATAGTGTAGTCTAGTACAACCCCATCACTCTCTCAACAAGTGATTGTCAGCATTTCAGCTCTGGCCACTGCTTCATATTGAGAGAAATGCAAAGATGGTTTGCATGTGTGTCCAGCATGAACTCAACCTCATTAGAAATTGTCCTCCTTGTTCTGATCTGCTGCAAAAAGCTTCCCAGGAGAGTCTTTGACCAAAAGGCAATCATTAACTTTGTCAAAGGCAATAAGTGTGCCAAGAGCTGTTTCCATCAAGCTACAGTACAAGCTGGACAGTTTGGGGGATCGCCCCTGGCTGCACAGGTAACTGGAAGGCTCCCCAGCACTGGAACATGTCCAGGAACAACTGTTCCCAGCACTGGTTTGGCCAGGATTTGCAAGCAATGCCCTGAACAAATCCTGGGCATAGTCCAGAGGTTAGCTCAGGTCAGGGCTAATTTCTAAAGGCAGTTTGCATGTGTCCACCTTATTTAAAGGTTTAATAAAATATACCTGGGCTCTTAAATGGCAGTTGGCCTCAGTGCAAGAAAGTAGTCCTGGGAGTGTCTAGTCTAATAATCAACTGTCTAGTATCATTATAAAACTAGATTAACAATCAAATAGCTGTTTTCAAATGTCTAGTATAGAAATCTGAGCCTTTGACCCTCAAAGTGAAAAACAATTTTACACTGAAGCATAAACCTGGTATGTCAGTGATTCCTCACCCAATTATAAAAAACATTGTGAGACCCCCAAAATCTGAATGTCAGAGATCAAAAGGAGCAGCAAGATATACGAGCTATCAAAATTAGTGGGGCTACTGATAAGATAAAATTTTTTTCTTGTGAATGGAAGTTCTCAAAGTCTATTTCTGTTAAGGGCGGAAATTGCCAAGCATTTTCTCTTTGAGTCTTAAGACCACTTTAGAAGTCATGGTGAGCTTCCAGCATTGCATCCTCAGGTAGGAACAAGTAGATGGTTCACCAACCAGCCATCTAAACTGGGGAGTCAGATGATAAGACTCTTTTGGGTATAACTCCAGATCAAGGCTGAGCCCTGTATGGAATTAGACTTTAACTGAAAATGGAAGTTTTGTCTGGGCTCTGCTATTATCTGCTCAGATTCTGACTTTCTTGCTGGAATATGCTTCTTTCCCAAAGAAAGGAGCCCAGAAATCAAATTATACCAGTAAAATAGTTTGTTGGTGTGCTCCTGATCTGTGTCAAGGGTATCAGGAGACAGCCCAGGAGATGAGGGTATTTGCCTCTTGTCTTATGTGCTGACCTCATGGTTTCTACTGACTACTTAGCTCTTACAAGGGCTTACAAGGGTTTACATTGTCTGCCCATTGCTACGCTTCATAAGGGATGCAGAAATTAGGTTTTTTGACAAGTACCGATAATGCTGTTATTCTGGAGAAATGTTACCTAATATTCTTTGCTTCTACAATGCCTTCACATGTGGAGCTACTATGGCAGTACATGATAAAGACTGGCTGTGCCCACGCTGGTATCTTCCCACACAGCTGAATCAAACATTGAAATGTAGTTTTTGGGTCCCATTTATAATACAAACAGTTCAAATAGTTCTTTAAAAAGAAAAATTCCCTTGATCCTTGCTTATGAAAGTAAAAGGGCGAGGGAGGCTGTATAAAATAAGAAGGCATTTGTCAAAAAGTTGGAACCCTCACCACAGAAGGAAAACAGGAAAACATGTGAATTCTGACAGGATAAATAGAAGAGTACGATAAGTGAGGCCAAAACCAGTTTTTATGGAACAACCTGTAAAAGGAATTAAAGAAATCTAGAAATAGATCATTTCCCAGGAAAGATATCTTGTCAGAAAGGGTTGAGCATGTAGATGATTAAAGTAAATTAAAAGATTTGTTAAAGGAGGTAAGGTGTCAGCAGAAAGTATCAGTGAATATTTGGTACTAGAGATGCCCTTAAGGATGTTGCCATGTTAGGACTTTTCTTCAAGAGGAACGAGGGAAGATCACACCCAAAATGAAGTGCCAGTCAAAGGGGTTAGAGAGAAAAATCAACACTGCATCATTAGACCAGGAGAAAAGTCTAAGCTGCCCTGAGATAAGAGGAGGATCCTCACCTGGATAAATACTTACAAGTAGTTTGAGATAATGGAAACCAAAGATGACTGTGAGGAAGTTCAATAACCAGATAATAGCGAGTGACTGAATGGTAAATTGGCAGAAGAAATGCCAATTTCATGTACGATGTACAAAAATGTAAATTTGCACACATGACAAGGAAAAATCCTAACGTGCTGATGTGATAGATTGGCTGGCTGGACATTTTACTCTGATTTGGTGTGGCCTTTATGCCTGTATATTGTTGTTGCTATATGATACATTTCCAAAGATTTTTCTGTCTGGTCTAAAAATTATTGACTTGGGAGGCTGCATCATGTGAGCATGACAGAACTCCACCTGTCCTCTGGGACAGAGAACACACCACCAGCAGGACAGAATCTCTTCTGAAACCACTTATGCTGATAAATCGCATGAGCAGTTCAGTGTAGGGATCTGGCAAAGTAAGAGTGTAAAGAAACGCAGCAACCTAGCATTGGAAAGAGTAACCACTTGTGAGTTAATAAAAGTGTTAGCAGAACCTGGCCCAGTGTTATTAGGATGAGAAGAGAACATTAAAGGCTGATATGATAACAGTTTTCTAAGGCTGACTTAGGGAGATTGGCTGTTATTCACATCTCTTTAGAAATGGTTCCCTTATGTTTATCACTTATCTGAAAAGGCTGTTACTAGTCCTTTCAGAAGTGCTCCATCCATAGAAAGGAATTTATGGCAAGGTAAGGCCACATCAGACACCCGTGACCAACAACAGAAATAGAAATATTTTTCTGAAAACCTTTGGTGGAGCTTTTATGTTTTCCAGGAGTGAAGCTGTAATAACAGAGGTTGGGTATACACTTCCCGTAGAAAATGAAAGAAGAAAAAACAGCTGGTCCAAACCTAATATACCCATCCTCCAAGATGAACGATTGCACTGTGCACAAGGGTCCGGTCTTTTTCAAATAGAAATATAAGTCTGTGCTTGTCTCAAAGTTTCAGCATTAGCTATAGCAGAGAATTAGATATTTCCAGAGAACATGTGTAGTTGTTGCCTTGTGCAGATATGATACTTCTTCATAAGTCTGAGAACCCTCCGATGTTCAGAATAATCTAGGCCTCCTCTAGCTGCTTTCTTCAGCTGCATCTCACCTCATACTGGGAACTGTAAATGCTATTGGAAAAGTCCAAACCTTGAAAAGGACAAAAGTTCTCACCAGATTAGTCCCTTTCCCTTCTGATAATGATCGGCATAATTCTCAAATTTGTTGGTCTGCAGTATCATTGGATCAGAAGTTGAGAAACATGTTTCTACATCTATATAAAATGAGCGCATTATCAAAATGGGTTACATTCCTCCACAATACGAAGTCCTAAGCACCCTCCTTTTGCTACTACACCTCGGTGCTTTCTCCTTTGAATAAGAATCAACAATTTATGATGCTTTCTGACTGCTAAGACTAGTACTCCTCTTAGGATTCATGGGAGACAAATGACCTTCCAGTCAGCGAAACAGAAAATTAAGAACTGGCTCTAAAGGACATTACTCCTTTTCCTACCTCAGAGGGAACACCAAAACACATGAATTACCTGAGGTCCTCATCTTTTCCAGTACTGGGCTTTCCTATGCTTCCCCAAGCCCTAACCCTAAAGCTATATATTAGGTGGAGAATGCATCAGGAAATGAAAAAGAAGTGCTGGCTCAAGCTGACAGCTCAGCACTGAAAAGAAATGAGATCCCTCTGAGTCAAGCCCTATTCCCAAGTGGAAGAGGCATGTGTTATGCAGTAGTTCTCTAGGCAACAGTACCAGTACGTAGTATGTCTCCAGCTCTCCCAGTTGCTTTAAGTGTACAAATGAGTACCACTGTTTCACAACAGGGACTTAGAAAGGCTCACCAGCTTTGACAAGAGCTATTTCAAGAAATATTTAGAGAAATATTTAGGTTGGAATGTACCTCTGAAGGTCATTGAGTCCAACCTCACACTTAAAGCAGAGCCAGCCCCAATGTCAGATTCAGTTGCTTGTCCAGTTGTGTTGTGAGTATCTCTGAGGATGGAGATTTCACAGCCTCTCTGGACACCCGTTCCAGAGACCATCCAACCTGTCTCACCTGTAAATCATTCTTTCTCCTTATATCAAATTGGACTTTCTCTTGCTGAAACTTGTGACTGTTACCTCTCATCCTCACACTGTGCAACTCCCCGACAAGTCTGTCTTCTCTTCATTACACGCAGTGGAAGACAGCGGTAGATCCCCTTAGCTTTTATTCTCCAGGCTGAAAAATCCCAGTTCCTTCAGACCCCCATAATCATCTTGGTGCCCCGCTGCTGAACTTACCCAGTTTGTCAATGCCTTTCTTGTACTAGGAGGCTGAAATCTGGACATGGAACTGCATGTGCAGACTCCTGAGTACTGAGTAGAGGGAATAATCACCTGCTGGGTCCACTCCTCCCAGTATAGCCCAGTATGTGTATATTTTTCATTACCATAAAGAAGCACTTCTGATTTGTGTTCAGTTTGTTGCCCACCAGGACCTCAGACCCTTTTCTTCAGATCTGACAGTCTCTAAGATACATGCAGTTAGTTTTTCCCAGGTATTTGGCTTTGCATTTGCTTCAGGGGGTTCCTATCAACCCGTATCTTAAGCCTGCCAAGAGCCCTCTGAAGAGCAGGCCAGCCCTCCAGTATATCAGGCAGTGTCCCCAGTTTGCTGTCATCTGCAGCCTGGCTGAGGCTGCATTTTATCCCGTTGTCCAAGTTACTGTTAGTGCTAAATGCTACGAGTCCCAGCACTGATCCTTGAGGGGCGTTGCTCGTAACCAGTCACTGTATTCAACAACAGCCTGGGCTGTTTTCCCAATACTGTGTCCTAACCCTATGGCTCTGAGAAATTGTTGTCCACCTGAGTAGAGTAAAGGCCTCTGTTCAAACAAAAGGACACAGAGATTAACTGAGTCATGCACTCAATATTTTAAAATACTAAGAAGTTAAAGAGGAATGAAAGTAGTAAAAAGGCAAGTGAGCAGCAAGAATGCAAAGAGCTAGATACCTACAGAAGAAAATTCTGGGCTGATATCAAGTTAATGGTGGCTGATCTCTTAACCTGTAACACCTGAAGCTCTACGATTAGTTAGGGTTTTAGACACACTCTTGTCCTTTGAGATTCCTGTTGATTACAGGCCACCATTCAATGTGTCAGTCTGTTTTCAGTCCTATTCTTAATTTGTTTTAGTTGCCCATGTGTACTTTAAGAGATCTGAGGAAACTTCAAGTATGAACAGGCCCATTATTGACAGTAGAATAATGACATTCAGGCACCAGACTTTTTTTTTTTTAATTTTTTTTTTCATCTCAATAAATTCATTCTTATTCTTTTGAGTATGAGGCAAAGACATTATTTTTCCTTGAAAAATTAAAATGTAACTAAAACTTCTTGACTTAAATATTTCAATCATACTCACAAAATGGAAGATATCCAATAAGTAGAAGTTACCCAAACAGTTAAAATCAGCCAAAATAAAAAGAAAATACAATGGCATTTAAAAAAAATTACACGTGAGGTATCATCCTCTCTTGGGTTGTGGCACTGTTTTTGCCAAGAAAACAAAGAAAGTGAAGAAACCCTATATATTATTTGACTTTCCACAACAATATATAGGTGCTTGAGCTAAGAAATGCACTTTCAAATTCCTCAGTTTTTCTTGGTTATTTCAGTATGTCAGTAACTAATAATATCTCTTCATTTTCAGATGTTTTTGGCTGAATTTTGCTCTCCATCAGCTGAAAGGAAAATAAAAACTTCCATTAGTTTTATAAACAAGATTAGGCAAGCCTCTACTTACTTATGCACAATTCTGAGAGCATTTCAACTTCTGTTGCATATTTAATAGAAATAATTCACTTCTTTGTTTCTTAGATGTTAAGCTTTCCTTAGTTGGACACAAGAGTGAAATTTCAGGAGCTTTGTAATGCTGACACATGATTTTTCACTGGCCTGGAAGTGAACAGGCAGAACACGTGCTTTTCTCCATAGCACCACACAGCTTACCGCAAATCATCTCAAACGAATTCATACACAAGGCTTAACTTTGCTAAGGTGTGAAAGTAGATGAGTATGCATTGGTCTGAAGTTTAGCTAATTGAACAGACCATGAGAAATTGCTAGACATAACATGATAAACTGCTGGGCAAGAAAAGGGCACAGGTGAGCTGCTGTGTATGACCACCACGGTCTGTCCTGTTACCTTACAAAATCCTATTTTGAACTGTTTTCTGTGTCACCTTTCTTTCTATGCTGTGTATCTAATTTGCTAGCAAACCTCGTTGAAGCTGGATCAGTGGGTGAGTAGGAGAGACCTGCACATGGAGAGACCAAAGGTGAGATCTGGTGACCTGACTGGGGGACCCAGGGTCCAGACACAGAGATAAGATGTGAGGAACTTGCAAACTCATGGCTGTTGTGAATGAAGAGTGAGGGAATATGCATGTCTCACTGGCAAGCTTCAGACCTGCTCAGCCGGAGAGGAGCAGGAGGACGGGGATGTCTGCGACCCCAGCAAAGGCACCTGCGCTGGTCTTTGTGGCTGGTTGCATTAGTGTCCTCTGTGTGTGTTTTTGTACATGTACGTGCCTCATGCTGGCAAAACATATAGCCCTTGTTGCTGTCTGGACCTACCAATGGGAGCATCAGCCCCTGCACCTGTGAGTCTAGAACAGGAGAAAACTCCTGGTTCTGGAAGAGCACTGCATTTGACTTCCTATGGCAAAGAGAACAGTTATCCTCTGTGTTAAGTTCCTTATAATTTAAAAAATACCTGCAATAGAGTCTTGTATGTATTTCATAGAATCACAGGATCATCGAATAGAATCATTAGCGAGCTCAACTGTACATCTCCACTACTAAACCATGTCCCTAAGCACCTCATCTACCCATATTTTAAATAACTCCAGGGATGGGGACTCAACCACTTCCCTGGGCAGCCTGTTCCATCACCTGATAGCCTGTTCAGTGAAGAAATTTTGCCCAATATCTAATCTAAACTTCCCCTGGCGCAGCTTGAGGTCATTTCCTCTCCTCTTATTGCTAGTTACTTGGGAGAAGAGACCAGCACCCACCTCACTACAGCCTTCTGTCAGGCAGTTGTAGAGGGTGATAAGGTCTCCCCTCAGCCTTCTCTTCTCCAGGCTAAACAACCCCAGTTCCCTCAGCCGCTCCTCACAAGACTTGTGCTCCAGACCCCTCACCAGCTTCATTGCCCTTCTCTGGACATGCTCCAGGGCCTCAATGTCCTTCTTGTAGTGAGGGGCCCAAAATAGAACACAGTATTTGTGCTGTTGGGCTTCTTGGACACCTGGGCACACTGCTGGCTCATATTCAGCCAGCTTTCAACCAGTACCGCCAGGTCTTTTTCCACCACACAGCTCTCCAGCCACTCTTCCCCAAGCCTGTAGCATTGCATGGGGTTGTTGTGACCCAAGTGCAGGACCCGGCACTTGGCCTTGTTGAACCTCATACAATTGGCCACAATCCACCGATCCAGCTTGGCAAGGTCCCTCTGTAGAGCCTTCCTACCCTCAAGCAGATCAACACTTCCACCCAGCTTAGTGTCACCTGCAAACTTGCTGAGGGTGCACTCAGTCCCCTTGCCCAGGTTGTTGATAATGATGTTAAACAGAACTGGTCCCAACACTGAGTCCTGGGGACACCACTTGTGACTGCCTGGCAACCGGATTTAACTCCGTTCATCACGACCCTTTGGGGCTGGCCATCCCACCACTTTTTTGCCCATCAAAGAGTATGCCTGTCCAGGCCATTAGCAGCCAGTTTCTCCAGGGGAATGCTATGGGAAATGGTGTCAAAGGCTTTACTAAAGTCCAGGTACACTCCATCCTTTGCCACTATGGTTCCCCCTGCATCCAGTAAAGGATGGAGATTCTCCTTGGCTCTCCTTTTGTTGTTAATGTATTTATAGAAACTTTTTTTATTATCTTTCACAGAATTGTCCAGTTTAAGTTCTAGTTGGGCTTTAGCCCTTCTAATTTTCTGTCTTCATGACCTTACAACATCCTTGTAGTCCTCCTGAGATGTCTTCCCCTTCTTCCAAAGCTCATAGACTTCCCTCTTTTTTCTGAGATCAGCCAAAGCTCTCTGTTCAGCCAGGCTGGCTTTCTTCCCCTCTGGCTCATCTTTCAGCACACAGGGATGGCCTGCTCTTATGTCTCCAGGATTTCCTTCTTGAAGAGCATCCAGCTTTCTTGGGCTCCTTTGCCCTTCAGGACTGCCTCCCAAGGGACTTTGTCAACCACTCTTCTGCACAGTCCAAAGTCTGCCCTCCAGAAGTCCAAGGTGGCAGTTCTGCTGACCCCGCTCCTTACTCCTCCAAGAATCGAGAATTCTATCTTTTCGGGATTGCTGTGCCCCAGCCATCCTCCAACCATCACATCATGCACAAGGCCTTCTCTGTGCGCAAACAACAGGTCCAGCAGAGTGCCTTTCCTAGTTGGTTCACTCACCAGCTGTGCTGGGAAGTTATCTTCTGCACACTCCAGGAACCTCCTAGACTGTTTTCTTTCTGCTGTATTGTACCTCCAGCAGACACCTGGTAAATTGAAGTCCTCCACAAGAACAAGGGCTAGAGATCATAGGACTTCTACCAGTTGCTTGTAGAATATTTCCTCTGTCTCTTCTTCCTGGTTGGGTGGTCTATAACAAACTTCCACCATGATATCTGCCTTGTTGGCCTTTCTCCTGATTTTTACCCATGAACACTCAACCGTCGCATCACCATCATTGAGCTCAAGGCAATCAAAACACTCTCTATCATACAGGGCTATCCCACTTCCTTGCCTATCCCACCTGAAGAGTTTATAGCCATCCATGGCAGCACTCCAGTTATGTGAGTTGTCCCACCACATTTCTGTGATGGCAACTGTATCATAGTTTTCCTGCTGCATGATGGCTTCTAATTCCTCCTGTTTGTTGCCCATGCTGTGAGCGTTGGTATAGGTGCGCTTCAGTTGGGCTATTGATCCTGCCACTCTTCTGAGAGGAGAGGTCTTAATTCCTAAGTGACTAATTGCAGTTGTTACTAGCCCATCAATAACCTCTGCATCTTTGCAGCCACTTGGATTACTATCTGCCACTTCCTCTGAGGTGACAGACCTCACTAGAACACTGTCCCTCACACATTGGTGTGCCATCCCCAACCATGTATTTCACACATTTAAGTTAAAATAGGAAGAGAACATACCTCTGGGTTTGTATCACAAAATTCTTGTAATGCATTTTTTGGCTCTGGGATTTGTGAAAATGCTGCTTTCCAGCAGCCGGTCCTGGAGATCAAAAGGGTGGAATAGAAAAGAAAAATCAAGTAACCGTCTGTGTCGAAACCATTGCATCCTTGAACCAGCTCTTATCTTCCTCTTCCAGGATAGAAGAGAAATGAAGACCATACATCAGCTCAGCAACAGAATGAACACATATCAGGAAAACACTAAGATTTTGGATGGTAATAGCTTCATTTTTGGTTTAAGGTTCACTAGTAATGATTTTCTTCTTTAAAAGGAAACACAACTCCCAATTGTCATGCTCTTTAAGTCACTACAGCCAGTGAAAAATGGATGTAAACATTTTAACAAGTTGGAAGGACAGTATCTTCTCTGACTTACTGTATATTTCTGTGGAAAGTGCATGATATGGCACAATAACCTTTTCCTTTCTTTTTTACTTCCACAGTTTATTTCAATAAGCAAGCTGCGTACTCATGTGCTTTCAGATACATTCAGTTGGGACAATGCTAGTGAACGTTGCCAAATCTTTTCTGATAAGTGCAATCAACCTGTGTGTTTGTAATAAATTCAGCAGTTCAAGAAAGCAGAAAACCTATTGCATAGACAGTCTACATTGCAGATATTCAGAGCAGCTGTACTGTTAATAGGAGTAATTGCATATAATTGTTCTCCTTGCCATGTTGACAGAAGAGGCCCTGCAAAAAGTTGTGTGGATCAGCCAGGGAGGGACTTTGGGCATCACCATTATCATACCTGCCTCAGGATCATTTATCTGGATTAATTTCTACCTCAGTGTGAGTGAAAAAATTTTATCTATCCTACAGAGACACCTCTACCTTATTTGTTTAAGAACTGAGCATTTCACACACCCACACAAAATGAAATAAATGCATAAGTTAAGTTTACCTTTTGCAGAAGAAAACTGTGGCAATAGTCACTAAGAGTGTTGCAACTGCTACCACAAGTAAAATCCATACTGAAAAAGAAATAATTTCTTCATTTCCTGAAAGAGAAACAGTCATAAAGTATTATTTTTAATAAACAGGAAGAGATGCACAGCTCGGTCAAACATTTACTTTGTTGACCAACTGGTGGCTGTCAGTCTGAAAGGTTTCTCTTGGAATAAAAATCAGCTCTTTTAATCTAGCACCTCAGCAGTAATGTCTGCTGGGAGGCTTTAACACTGATCCTGTTTGTCCATCCCCTGTAGTAAACAGGTACACACTTCAGCTGCAAATGCATAGCTTCTTATATTTATTTTCAATGTCAGAGTGTTGAGAGATGCATTAATTCTCTTCCTCCTCTTCTTCTTGGTATGTGGAGGGAGACAAAATGTTTCCCAAGCCTTTACATATCTGTGTGTCCGTGGATGTGCAGCAATGTGTGAGGTGGACAGGATGTTGCTGGGGGAAGAGTAGCCCAAGGCATGGATTTTCATTCTTACCAAACTCTACAGATGCACTCCACTCCCCCCAGGCTGAGCTCACGAGGCAGGAGGTGCCAGCTGTTCTCATTTTCAAGAGGTACTTTTTTTTTGTATGGGGTCTTTGAAATGTGTGATTCTTCCCTCTTTCCTAAGAACAAAGCAAAACTGAGTTGTTTTTCTTTGTTACATGGCTAGGTGTTCATAATATGCAAGTGCCACCTACCAGCAAATCTTTTACAAGGCTAGGAGAGCACTGCTTATTAAAGGAGACTGCTGTTACAAAGCAAAAAAGAAACTTATGCATGCTTGTTATGTAGATAATATGTACATATCTGTGTAACTCCTTTAAAAAATAACTTGTCACTCAGTAAAATTCTTTACGTTTAGAAGCATTTTGTCTTTTAAACTATATCCTGTAATTTCTTATGATATGGTCTGATCTATTGATAATTGCCCTTGGCACATTGACAGAGGCAGAAAAACATCTTGAATTGTCTCACTTCAGTACTGCTAGAATTAAGTGATTTGAGGAATAAATTGTCTGTATGCACCTCACCTTCCTCAGTCTTTGCATTATGACTTTTCAGGAAAAGCATGGCTTTCCAGCCAAACTTGTAAAACAAGTAGAAGACTGCGATACTTAGTATTACTACAATTTACTGAAACGTGCTTGCTCTTGGATACCTTTGGGACAGAGGTGGGATGTGCAAGCTGCACTGATTAGAAAGAGGTGCAGCATACCTGGAGGACAGCCTCCATCCCAAAGGATCCCAAAGGACTTTTGTGGTCTTTGTTTCTCATAAACAAAATTCAGTTCCTAGGAGGTGTTTCCTCTCTACCTCTTTTCTCTGCTGTCACTGATGTGTAACTTCAAATTCTGATCAAAATATTTGAGGGTGAGAGTGGACAATATAATGTAAAATGGAAGGGTTTTCAAAATACTTATGGAATAGTAATAAAGTTCTGCCCTTGAATGTGTAATAAATGACATATGTCATGATGATTTAGCAGTTTGACACATTCATGACATTTACAAATAAGGATCCTGTAAAGCATAGGACATCGAACACATACTGGTTTAAAGGCATTGGCATACTATTTACTTTTCACAAATGACTACGAAACCAACATGTATTGCTGATTAATAGAACAAGTAGACTTACTTGTATAGAAGTATACGTGGGTTTTCCGTCAGCATTAGCCTGTAAATTAAGAAAAAAACCCTTTATTTTTATGATTGCTTGGTTTGTGTTTAGATAATGTCATTTTTATCTACTGTCCCCTTTTTCTGCATCACTCTTTTTTATCTAGTTGACAGTTTTTCAGAAGAACTAGTAATTTATCTAAAATCTAGAATCTAATATTTAATTCGTCTACAATGCCAAGTTTATGTAGTAAATAATTCTGTTACGGAAAAGTATTTTTTTTTTCCTTACCACTAGAGTTGAGAAATACATTTTATTTCAGATTGGCGATTAAACTGAAACACAAGCAAACCAGACCTAAATGAAAACTGTAACTTCAGTCTTACACACACCAGGAGAAAAAGAGAATTAAAAATCTGTGAAGTACACTTTTTAGTTTACATCTAGTGTTTCTATTTTACAATAAATATCATTATAGTTAATTGCAAATACTATGTAAATATTGTTTCCTTTTCCCTCAGATGAAAATATTCAGGACTGACATGGATTCACAGATATTTTAGGCTGCAATGCAACTACATTTTTGATAGCTAGAATAAAATTCACTCATGTCGTCTGAATAGCCATAATGACTACCATGCAATGTAGCAACCATATACAACTAATGACTACAGACTGTATCATCTCCATCAGCCTGCCAATTATGTATTTTTAATTATTTTGCATTCTGTTTTACTCCATTTTAAAACAAAATGAAATTAATCACAGAATCACAGAATCGCAAGGGTTGGAAGGGACCTCGGGAGATCATCTAGTCCAACCCCCCTGCTAAAGCAGGCTCACCTAGAGCATTCTACACAGGACTTCATCCAGGCACGCCTTGAATATCTCCAGAGAAGGAGACTCCACAATCTCCCTGGGCAGCCTGTTCCAGTGCTCTGTCACCCTTAGAGTAAAGAAGTTTTTCCTCATATTCAACTGAAACCTCTTATGTTTCAGTTTGCACCCGTTGCCCCTTGTCCTGCTGCTGGACACCACTGCAGACAGACTGCTTCCATCCTCGTGACTTCCACCCTTAAGATATTTGTATGTGTTGATGAGGTCCCCTCTCAGTCTTCTCTTCTTCAGGCTGAACAAGCCCAACTCTCTCAGCCTTTCCTCGTACGGGAGGTGCTCCAGTCCCTTAATCATCCTAGTTGCTCTCCTCTGGACTCTTTCTAGGAGTTCCTCATCTTTCTTGAACTGGGGAGCCCAGAACTGGACACAGTACTCCAGGTGGGGTCTCACCAGGGCAGAGTAGAGGGGGAGGAGAACCT